ACTAATTTGATTGAAATAGCCACATGTGGCTCATGACGATTCTATGTTGTATGTTGGAGTTCTGCATAGGTTTTTGAAGATATGTCATTCAAGGCCTTAACCTGTGGGTCTCAAACTCAGATGTAAGCAGGGACCAAGCACGGGACTGGGCTGATTTTCCAGAGGCATCTTCAGTTGTGTCTTCTTTCCCAATCGTCAGTATGTTCAACACTATAAAGGAATCAGTTTCTGTTTTCGTTGAAACATGAGCCCCTCCAGATCTTTCAGTTTTCCATTTTTTTTTCTTAATCAGGTGTAATTCCCATTAGAGTGAAATGCACAAATGAGGGTTGAGGAGTTTTGACAAATGTAGACACATTTGTTTTCTGTTTTCCTTGAAACGTGAGCCCCTCCAGACCTATCTTTCAGTTTTTCATTTTTTTTTCTTAATCAGGTGTAATTTCCATTAGAGTGAAATGCACAAGTGAGGGTTGAGGAGTTTTGACAAATGTAGACACCTGTGTAACCACAGAATCAAGATAGAGGGTATTTCCAGGACATTCCCATTCCCCAGAACATTCCCTCATGCACCCTTCCAGTAAGTCTCATCCTCGGAGGTGGCCGCTGTTCTGATGTCTGTCGCCATATGGCTTAGTTTTCTCGTTTTGAAACTACATGTAAATCATTTCACTTTTGACCAAGACAAGGATATGATAAATATTTCTCTCTTTTTTAAAAATAAGAAACAACATTGACATGATGAAAATTGACAGCTCACCCTGGGGCCACAGTGAAGAGCAGATGAGGGGTTGGGGTGGGCTGTAGAACCCCAGGGACTCGTGACCTGTCCAGAGGAGGTGGCCACTCCTCAGCCCCAGCCACCACGTGGAGAATGTGGTCCCAGCATTGCCGTCATCTTTTTTTTTTTTTAAAGGAAAATTGAAACTATTCCTTTGTTTTATAATATCTCCAAAATGTTACATTTCAAAAACTTTTCTAAGCTGGGGGCACAGTGGCTCATGCCTGTAATCCCAGCACTTTGGGAGGTCAAGACAGGCAGATCACCTGAGATCAGGAGTTCAAGACCAGCCTGGCCAACATGGCGAAACCCCATCTCTATTAAAAATACAAAAAATTAGTCAGGTATGATGGTGCATGCCTCCTAGTCCCAGCTACTTGAAAGGCTAAGGTAGGAGCATTGCTTGAGCCTGGGAGTCGGAGGTTACAGCGAGCTGAGATGGTGCGACTGTACTCCAGCCTGAGCGACAGAGTGAGACCCTGTCTCAAAAAACAACAACAACGAAATTTCTAGCGCCGTAGGCCAAATAATTCACATCTGTGGGCCAGGTTTGACCTGTGGATGGCCAGTTTATGAGTTCTGCCTTGGGCCAGCTGGAATGTTAGTAATAATGACAGCTGGCATTTCCTGAGTGCTTCCTTTGTTTCAGGTCCTGTTCTAAGTGCTCTCTATTATTAAGTCATGTAATCATTGCAACAGTTGATGAATAGATCCATTTTACAGATGAGTAAGCTGAGCCATAGAGAGGGATTAAGTGATTTGTCCAAGGTTACGGAGTGAGTGCTTGGCAGAGCTGGGATTTGAATTCTGACTGTTTCTCCGTAATCTGTGTTCCCCACCACTACAGATGCTCCCCTCGAGGGCAAGAGTGGAGGGTGAGGCCTCTGGGGATGGTTATGCCACTTGGGTGGAGCTTTGATAGCCACCACGGTGCCACCTCCCTGAACAGGTGAGGAGAGAATACCTCGGCCCCACCCTGCTGGGACTGCCCTGGCTTGGGCACTTTGCATGTCTGGACACCTTGGCTATCAGTTGGTGGAGCCCAGTTTTAGGGAGTTCTGGGAAAGGAGCCACGGGGCTGGGTAGATGGAAGCCTGGTGGATGAGGAGCCATGAGAGGCACAGAAAGCACCAGGCCAGTGGGGGCAGAAATAGCAGGAGCCTGGTCGGGTAGAGGAGATGAGGATAGAGAAATCGGTCAGCCCAGGGCCAGGGCAGGCTGCTGCTGCCCAGGAGCCAACAGCTGGGGCATTCCTGCCCCCTGGTGATTCATCTGGACAAGCCTGTCATTTGGGAAAGGTAGGGGAGGAGAATATAAGCATCACCGGGCAAAACACTGCCACATTTCCGTCATCACCTTCCACCTCCAAAGGGGGCAGGGTGGGCCAGGGGAGGAAACTGAGGCCCAGGGAGCACTCGGCTTGAACTCACGCCAGGACTCCTGGCTCCCACTCTGGCGTTCTGTGCATTCCTCAAGGCAGGGGTTTGGGAAAATGGTCTGTGGTCATTTCTGGAGCCTGAGAAGGGGCGTGGTGGGAAGGGGCCAGCAGACACATCAGATTCTTCTCTCTGGCCCTTATCTTACCTGTAAGTCAGTGAGCCAGGGCCTGATATGCAGTAAGTGCCAAATAAGTATTTGTCATTATTACTGGATTTTCCTAATTTGATCCTCACACCCAGTTCTGAGATACATGCTGTTATCATCACTGTTTCACCAATGAGAAAATCGAGGCTCAGACTGCCCGGGTCACAGAGCCAGAAAGTTGTTGGCAGGATTAAAAAGAGTGATGCGTGTAGGGTGCTTAGCACCAGCCTGGTGCACAGCAAGGGCTTGGTGTGGGGCCTGGGCCAGAAGAGGGGGAGGTGGCAGGACTGGTCAGAGAGGGCCTCCTGGAGGAGATGGCATGGGGCTGGACATGGGGAGCTTAGCCTGTTAAACTGCTGGTTCCCTCGGGGCCAAGGTTGGTTCCTGACTAAGACCTAACGCCCGCTGGGTCTCCCCACTCTGAGAATGCACTGCCTGCCAGAATGCCATGCAGTTTGGGCTGGTGCTTGGGCCTCACGTGCTTTCCTGCAGCTCTACATCAGGGGAGCCCACTGAGCCTGGCCTGGAAGGGGCAATCTGACCTCAAGTGGCCATGTCACCTCTCTGAGCCTCAGTCTCCTCATCTGTCAAATGGGAACAGTGCTACCTACCACACAGGGTTGTGGTGAGGGCCTGGCATCACAGAACTTGCAGGAGATGGCTGTTGAGTTGGCCCTTTTTTTTGGAGACAAGGTCTCTGTCACTCAGGCTGGAGTACAGTGGTGTGATCTCAGCTCACTGCAACCTCCACCTCCCAGGTTCAAGTAATTATCCTGCCTCAGCCTCTCGAGTAGTTGGAATCACAGATGTGAGCGATCACGCCACCATGCCTGGCTAATTTCTTTTTTTTTTTTTGGTAGAGATGGAGTTTTGCCCTGTTGCCCAGGCTGCTCTCTCCTGAGCTCAAAGCAATCCCCCTACCTCAGCCTCCCAAAGTGCTGGGATTATAGGCGTGAGCCCCTGCACCCAGCATGAATTGGCTTTTTAAAAACAGAAGTCAGACACAGCCCCAAGCCAGCCTAGGGAAGCTCGGTCCATATGTGAGCTCAGAACCCAGACATTCTCACTCCTGCTTTTTGTGAACTCAGAACCCAAACATTCTCACTCCTGCTTTTCACCTGTTTACTTTGAGAGGATCAGGAGGAGACACGCCCTCTTCAGCTTCGTCTACACTGGACATGAGTGCTAGGGAGCAAGTTTGCCATTATTGCCCACCAAACCCAAGAGCAGCAAACACTAATGGAGCACTTGCTGTGTACCGAGCACTAACAAAGCGCCTTATGTTTTCTTTTTTTTTTTTTTGAGACGGAGTCTTGCTCTGTCGCCCGGGCTGGAGTGCAGTGGCTGGATCTCAGCTCACTGCAAGCTCCGCCTCCCGGGTTTACGCCATTCTCCTGCCTCAGCCTCCCGAGTAGCTGGGACTACAGGTGCCCGCCACCTCGCCCGGCTAGTTTTTGTATTTTTTTTTAGTAGAGACGGGGTTTCACCGTGTTAGCCAGGATGGTCTCGATCTCTTGACCTTGTGATCTGCCCGTCTCGGCCTCCCAAAGTGCTGGGATTACAGGCTTGAGCCACTGCGCCCGGCCTTATGTTTTCATTTTACTCCAAGGAAACAGGCTCAGTAGCTGGATGTTGAGCAATCAGCTGGTGGTGCTGGAGTGGAGACTTGGACCTATTTAGTCTGGCTTCAGAGTCAACGCTCTTAAGAAGAAGAAGAAGAAAAAATCTACCAGAAAGGAGCAAAAATAGTAATTCAGGGCTGGGTACGGTGGCTTAGGTCTGTAATCCCAGCACTTTGGGAGGCCAAGGCAGGCAGATCAATTGAGGTCAGGAGTTTGAGACCAGCCTGGCCGACATGGCAAAACCCTGTCTCTACTAAAGATATAAAAAATTAGCTGCATGTGGTGGCACAGCAACTCGGGTCCCAGCTACTCGGGAGGCTGAGGTAGGAGAATTGCTTGAGCCCAGGAGGCGGAAGTTGGAGTGAGTTGAGTTTGCACTACTGCGGTGCTCCAGCCAGGGCAACAGAGCAAGACTCTGCCTCAAAAAAAAAAAAGGTCATTCGGGGCAGTCTTTCCATTGCAAAGCCTTTTCACGCATGTGATGCAATTTTTATCATTAGGGACACCTGATGAGTGCAGTGTTACCATCCCCATCTTACAGGTGAGGAAAATGGGCCCCAGAGAGGGACACGACCTGCCCAGAGCCACCCACCTGACTCCAAGCCTGGTGTTCTTCTCCCTGCTTCTCAGCGGCCTCTTGGGGAGACAGTTGTCCAGCTGCCGTGGAGGCAGCCGGCAGGCCAGCAGCAGGGAACTCTGCGTGTCCCACAGCCCCCATGTGCTGCCTCCAGTGGGTGAGCACCAGCCAGGCCCATGCCATGGTTTCCCGCTTCCGCCCCACCCCCGATCTCAGAGCTTAGAGCCACCAGTTCTCAGAGACAGCTGAGTGATTTTTCAAACTCCATTCCTTATAACTCCTGAGGGAGCTGGGTTCAGGGTCAGGATACGAGCTCATTGACTGCCTAAGTGGCAGCTCAGCTCCACTTACATCTCTTTTGTATTTTGGGTTGCCGTGTTTAGTTTTTTAAATAAAGGGCGCTATGGGATGAAAGAAAATCTGTTTGCAAACCACTGTTCAGATCCAGCAACTACTTCCCCATTTTACAGATGAAAAATGGACAGCAAAACTCATTTCTCCCCATAAATGACAATAATATTCAGGCATTGTTCTAAGTCTTGATACTCATTTTATCTTCACAAGCCTATGAGGGAGACACTGTTGTCATCTCCATTTTACAGATGAGGACACCGAGGCTCAGATGGTGAAGTAGCTTGCCCAAGGATTAGAATCCCAAGGAGCTTAGCTCCCAAGTCCACACCCTCAGCCGCCCGTAACCTGACAGACATACTATCTCTTTGTGTCCTGAAGAGGGATGCTACTTGCTGAGGCCCATGGTAAGGCAGTGTCAGAACTGGGGCCCAAATGTGGACCTCCAGCCTCCCAGCCCTATTCCTGTTCCTTCTGCTGTCCAAGACATCTCCTGGGCTGAAGAGGGAACCCTGACTCTGTCATTTTCTAGCTCTCCGACCTTGGACAAGTGAATGGACTTCTCTGAGCCTGTTTTCTCACCTTAGAAGAGAGATAACAGTACATCATGAGGCCATCATGAAGGTTAAACAGGATCAACCACATGAGTTGGCTGGCATGGGGTTCATGGATCCAAGGAGTCCTCAGAGCTTCCTGCCGCACCTACTTCCTCCTCCTTCTGCCCAGCCCTCACCCACCCACGCACCCACCTGTGTAACACAAATACTAATTACAACCAACTCCATGAGCTGCTTCCTGGTTGAGCATAATTAGCGGGCAACTCAGTCATCACCATTATACCATATCATTCAGTGAGATGGGTTAACTTTGTCTTAAGTTGTACGTGATTAGATCGGCAAATTGTCAGGGAGCACTTGGTCTCTTCAGCTTTTGACTTCCTCAACCTTGTCATCCTGCACAGCCCAGGACATCACACGGGAGCACAGGAGCATGAGGAGGTACAGGGGCATCTGTGGGTAGCCCTGGAGTCAGGGCCAGCTGCTTTCTGGTCTGCTTTGCAGTTTGTGCTTGGAAAAGATCAGAGTGGACAACTCAACCCCTTAAATCCAGCTGGGAGGTGACACCTGAAGTCGTAAGGATGGAGCAGGTGAGGCAGGGTGGGTTAGAAGGAGGTGGTGACTGCCATCTTATCCGATGTAATGGGAAAACCTAGGTTAAAATCCAGGCTTTGCTGTTTACCAGATGTGTGACTTAAGGCGAGTTACTGACCCTCGCTGCACTCCAGTCGTTTCACACTTGCAAGGAGCTGACACGTGCCGCCGAGTCCCAGGTCTAGTGCCTGGCACACCACGGGGCTTCTCTAGTCGTTCCTTCCCTCCCATGTGCTGCTTCTCTGCGAGGCACTGGGCTGAGGCCTTTCCGTGGCTCACTTTTTGAAGACGTGTAAGGGTCCTTTGGGGTCGGCACCATGGTCATCTCCGTTCACATCCATGGAAAGATGTGAAAGCCAAAGCATAAAAACAAAGTGAAATGACTTGGTCAGGGCCACACAGCCGCACACAGCTGCTGGTCAGTCTGTTGGGATGAGATGCTAGAAGCATGCTGCTGGGGAGCATCGAGGAAGGGTCACTGCGAAGCCCAAGAGAGCTGCCTGGAGGAAAGCGCGTAAGCTGAGGAGCCAGCCGGAGAAAGAAGACAGACTCAAACTCTTGAGCGAGCCGGGAGGGAGGATTTAGCAAGCCAGGCCAAGGTTCGTGGGCTTCATCCTGCCAGCTCCAGGGAGTCAGTGTGTGATGCAGTCCCTCTTTAGAAAGTCCTGCCCAGGCCGAGCGTGGTGACTCATGCCTGTAATCCCATCACTTTAGGAGGCTGAGGCCGGAGGATCGCTTGAGCCCAGGAATTTGAGAGACCAGCCTGGGCAATATAATGCGACCTTGTCTCTACACAAAAAATGTTTAAAATTAGCTAGGCATGGTGCTACCCACCTGTGGTCCCAGCTACTCAGGAAGCTGAGGCAAGAGCATCACTTGATCCCATGAGTTTGGAGGCTGCAGTGAGCCATGATCATACCACTCCACTCCAGCCTGGGTGACAGAGTGACACCTAGTCTCTTAAAAAAACAACAGCAACAAGAGCCATGGCTCACGTCTGTAATCCCAGCACTTTGGGAGGCCGAGGTGGGTGGATCATCTGAAGTCAGGAGTTCGAGACCAGCCTGGCCAATGTGGTGAAATCCCGTCTCTACTAAAAATACAAAAATTAGGTCAGGCGCGGTGGCTCACACCTGTAATCCCAGCACTTTGGGAGGCTGAGGCTGGCGGATCACAAGGTCAGCAGATCAAGACCATCCTGGCTAACACGGTGAAACCCTGTCTCTACTAAAAATACAAAAAATTAGCCAGGTGTGGTGGCGGTCGCCTGTAGTCCCAGCTACTCGGGAGGCTGAGGCAGGAGAATGCTGTGAACCCAGAAGGCAGAGCTTGCAGTGAGCCGAGATGCTCCAACACACTCCAGCCTGGGCGACAGAGTGACTCCGTCTCAAAACAAACAAACAAACAAAATACAAAAATTATCCGGGCATAGTGGTGGGTGCCTGTAGTCCCTACTACCCAGGAGGCTGAGGCAGAATTGAATCGCTGGAACCTGAGAGGCAGAGGTTACAGTGAGCCAAGATTGTGCCACTGCACTCCAGCCTGGGTGACAGAGCGAGACTCCGTCTCAAAAAAAAAAAAGAAAGAGAAAGTTCTGCCAGGAGTTAGCCAGGAGCTGAAGGACTAAAGGGAGCTACAGTAGGAGATCAAGGGGGTCAGGGGGTCATCAGGGAAGGCATCCCGAGGAGACAGAGCCCCCTGGACAGAGGACGGGAGATGACTGATGGAGGCTGTCAGGCAGGTAGACAGGGTGGGCAGGTCAGTGGCCTGTATCAGGTAGGAGCGAGAGGCTGCTGACCAGGTTTGGGGCTTGGGCATGGGGTGGCCTCCACAGCAGGCACTGAGGAATGGGCCAGCAACACTAGGTAAGACTTCCCATGCCCCCAGGGCCTCTGGCAGTTGAGTCAACACCGGGCCACGTGAGTGAGTGCTTCCCAGCGCTGTGTGTGTGGAGGCAAGTCTCCTGCTGCCAGCACATTCACGGGAGCCCAGCCCTGGGACTCCGGGCCACGCCAGGGTGGTTGACTCACAGGCTGGCAGGGCTGCTGCTTTCTCCAAGGGGCAGTTAGCAACCTTGACCTCCTACCTCTGCCCTGTGCCCTTGGCCTTGGAGTGTCTCCCTGAGTCTCACCTTGAGGCCTCCCCAGCCCCTGCCCACCTGCTGCCTTCCCATGCACAGGCCCTCAGTTCCATCTGAGCCTTGGATGGTAGAAAGGGGAGTCTCCCTCTACAGCCCCCAGCAGTTATATCTGTCCCTCTCTCCCACATCCCAGATGGGTGGCCCGTAGCCTCTGAAGGAAGTTAGCCTAGAGAGCCAGGCTCTGGGTAGGAGGCACAAAAAAAGGGGGTGAGCCCCGAGATGACCAGGAAGATCTGGGTTTGGGCTCCAGCTCTGACAAGCTAAGCTGCTTCCTTTCTCTGAGCCTCAGTCTCTGCATCTGTAAAATGGGATCCCAGGACTTATCCCACAAGGTGATTGTAAGACACAAGGTGCTGTAATCCCAGCACTTTGGGAGGCCGAGACGGGCGGATCACAAGGTCAGGAGATCGAGACCATCCTGGCTAACACGGTGAAACCCCGTCTCTACTAA